CAGTTTTCTCAAAAAATGCTTGAATTCAAGAAGTTTTAGATTTGCGTGGTTTTTTTTGAGTTGCAAAATCCACTTGAACATGACGCTGCTTTTTTAACGCCAGGAAATTTTACATGGAAATGTGCAGAAAGACTTCCTGTTTTAAAAAATCAGCATTTTGTTGCAAAGAAAGGAAAAAAACTGGCGGTTTTTCTAATTTGAACAGCGCAATGACACACTAAACCACCACTAGCCGACAGTGACATCAATCAATCGTCAATCAACAACAGTCAATCGACCTTTGTAACTTTTGAAAATGAAACGCCTAAAATTGCGGAAATATTTTGCAGAGTACAAGCAAAAATGCAATGATAATAATTCAAAAATAACGAAAATTTACCGAAAAAACCCAAGTACAATGTTGCTCGCACAGAGCTGGCTTTTGCGTTCTGGCAACACCGTCCTCGTTCCTAACCTCACAATTTGACCAAGCGAACCAAACCTGTGATTGTGAAACCAAACCAAACCAAACATCATCCCGCGTTAGTCTTAAGCATCATCAGTGCTTTAAAGTTGCAATTATGGCCCTAACAAAGCCCAAATCGGAAATGACGTCCGAGGAATTACAGGCAAGGGAAGAGGAGGAATTCAACACGGGGCCCCTTTCGGTACTGACGCAGTCCGTGAAAAACAACACCCAGGTGCTGATCAACTGCCGCAACAACAAGAAACTGTTGGGAAGAGTGAAGGCGTTCGACCGACATTGCAACATGGTGCTGGAGAACGTGAAGGAGATGTGGACCGAACTGCCCCGGCCTGGAAAGGGCAAGAAGAAGGCCAAGCCAGTGAATAAGGACAGGTTTATCTCCAAGATGTTCCTAAGGGGCGACGCGGTGATCATGATTGTTCGAAACCCCCTGGCCACCGCCAGCTAGGCTCCGATCTTGGATAAATAAGTTTTAGATGTAAGTAAGCCAATAAACACGTTTTATAGCCAGTCACTGGTTTTACTGCTCCAACTCCTACCTGTAGAGTAGCAGAAGTTCACCTTCGTGGTCATTCACCTAACCAAATCAGCAGGATAATCAAGAAAAGTGAGCCACACACTTGAAAATATAACTTTATTTCCTATCTAGATTATTTGTTACTTACACGAAACTACCCTTAAATATAAATGGATTATGGGTGCATGACCGAATAAATAACGAACTAAAAATACAAAACATCGCCGGTGAATGCAGCGAAACCAGGCTGGATATTTCGAGTGAATAATAAGAACATTACTGTTTGCGGCGTAAAACGCATCGAATATACGAATAATACAATGGCGAACTAAAATACTAAACACCGATTTTAAGTACTGACCAAAAGGTCTTTGGTATAGGCGACTTGTATTTGTATACAGCGAAAATAGACTTCGGGTTTTTTTTGGTTTGTGCTTGAACAACTTACTACATACAATATGACACTGGACATGGCCATAGACGTACATTTAAAAAAATACTTATATACAGTAGTTGTATGAACCGAGCACGCAACTCGTGTGCCAAGAATATTCCACAGTCATTTAAGGTTTGGTCGGTTATAACTTGCTACATCACATTCGGTTACTGATCCTTTTTATCAACCGGGGCCCCGTTCTGCTCGATCTTGTTCACGGGAAATCTAAAAAACACACAGTTTTAGAGTTGGAGCTTTGAAGCTCAGCAACTCTCACCTGTCCTTGTTCTTTTCGTATGCTTCTTCGGCAACTTCTTTCAGCTTCTCTTCCATAGAGCGGCCAGTTTGCGCCACCATTCTGCTGAAATAACTGGCGGGGTTCTCAAGCAGTTCGTGCGGCGGGGCAAATTCCACAGCTCTTCCCGCCTCCATTACCAGCGCTTTATCGTAGTCCATTATAGTGTTCAGTCGGTGCGCTATCGTAATAACTGTGCAATCGCTGAAAGCCTCCCTGATCGTTTTCTGGATGAGGAAATCCGTGTGCCGATCCACGTTAGCTGTGGCTTCGTCCATTACCAGCACCTTGTTTTTGCGCACTATCGCCCTGGCCAGGCAAATGAGCTGTCGCTGTCCAGCGCTGAAATTCCCTCCACCTTCACTCACTGGGGTGTCCAGCGACACTCCCGCCTGCCTCAGTTCCACGCGATCCAGCGCCTTCCATAGCTCTTCGTCTGAGCACTTCTCAAAGGGATCCAGGTTGTATCTGGAAGAGTTTTCACACCTTTTGGCCTCGGCCTAGTTAGTTTCTTAATGCCTACCTTAGCGTAGCAGAGAAGAGAATAGGCACTTGCGGAATAATAGAAATGGCCGATCTGAGCAATCGCAGCCCGACTTTCCCGGTATCAATCGCATCTATTGCAACAACGCCGTCCACTTGGGCTAGACGGAACAGGGTGGCCACCAGGGAGGATTTTCCGGCGCCAGTTCGGCCCACCACCCCAATCTTCTCCCCCGGCCGGAATTCGACATTCAAGTCGCGAATCGAAGGCGGACTGTCGCTGGAGTAGCGCAGAAAGGCATGGCTGAAGCTGACGCGCCCCTTTTGGGGCCAGTCCAAAGGGGGCCGATCGCCCGGCAGCGCCTCCCAGGGGCCTTCTTCGTCCAGCTTGGTGTATTGAAGCACGCGCTCCACGCTGGTCATGGTGGAAGACACTTCTGCCGATTGTCGCACTCCATACTGGAGCATCCCTGCGAAAACACACCCGCTAGGCCCAAGCTAGGTTTAAAACATCAATAAATACCTGTTAGGGCGAGGGTTTGTGAAATCACCAGCCCGACGTCTCCGGCTTTGGTGTTCTCGTCGCCGAAGACCAGAAACTGGAAGGTGGTGAAGGCCAGGAAGATCGTGCTGATTACGTCCAAGTAGAAGCCCAAAGACTCGCTGGTTGCCCCGAATAGGAACCAGGTGCCAGTGTGTTGGTCCTGGAACAAACTCGCATTACGGCACAAAACACTGTTAAGCAAAAAATGATTTTTATTTTAAAAAATTAATCAAAAAAATCATGATTTTTTGTTGCCGAGAAGATTCAAGCTAAGTTGAACCGATTCAATACTTGCCCGAACGCATTTTCGACGGAAAATTCTTGTCGCAACGGCCGGCTACTCGTTTTCGCACGTTGCCCGGCGTAATCTATAAATGCCGACGCCTTTTTTCGATCTTATTCATTTCGTCACAAAATTTCAAGAGAGGCTAATGTTGAAAAGTGTGTAGATTTTTTGTGTTTGTGTAATAATAATAAGTCAGTTTAAAAATAACGCAATGGCTGGAAGAAAAGAAGGCAGTATTTGGCAGTTTTACATCAAAACCACCTCTTCTAATAAGTCAGGATGCAGAGCAACTTGCAAACAGTGTAAGAAAGAGATTCAAGGCACAGTACAAAGACTGAAGGCACACCATGACGTTTGTAAGAGGCAACAAAACAGAAAAGGCACAACAACAAATGCAAACATCGATCTTCCGCCCCACTTTTTTGAGACTGGGAGTGCTTCTTCCTCCTTAACATTTCCCTCGACAAGCTCCAACTCACCTCCAGAATCTCCATCATCCTACACGCAAACAACTACCGAGTCGGCTTCCAAGAGAAAGAAACGTGAAAGCCAACCCTCAATATCCAATTTCGTTAGGCGAACTTCAGCAGGGGAAAAACATCTTATTGACAAAAAAATAGCTAAGGCCATATTTGCCACAAACTCAAGTTTTAGATGTATCGAGAACTCGGAAGTCAAGAAAGCCATTCATCTATTGAGACCTGGATACAGTCCTCCTTCGCGAAAAACGGTCGCATCGAGCCTTTTGGATGAGATTTATACTGAAAAAAAAGAGGCATGTTTTTCATCTCTTTCGGGGAAAAGTGTTAACATGTCGATTGACTAACTGGATGTTGAAAAATTGAAAACAATTCATCAATTGATGAAAACATTCACAACGAGCCGGTTATATGCGCAACATTAACAACGGAAGATGGACGAGCGCTTCTCTATGAAACCAGTGATACTTCTGGAAAGCCTCATATTTCGACATACCTTACTGATCTGATGCGATTTAATTTCTTCGTGTTAAACAAAATTTAAGTGTCAAGTGCGATCTTTTGTAACGGACAATGCCGCTAATATGATCGCAATGAGGAAAACGTTAGAAGAACGGACGAACTCTGAAGTTATAACTTATGGTTGCTCTTCGCATTTACTAAATCTGCTTTGTAAGGACCTACAGATAAAAAATCGTATCTTACACTACGCGAAAGACAAAAGTCCACTTTATAATTACCGGAATTTGTAATACTCGCAAAACTACACTTGACAAGCGCTATAACGCCTTTCATATATATGTAAGCCATCTTGGGAAAAAATATTTTGGTCCGGCAGTGGTAAATATTATCAAAATCATGTAAAGTATTCCGTAGCTCATAATGATGCGAGCACAGAAGCGTTTATTTATAAATGATGGCTTGGCTTGAGTCTGCAATTTACACAAAATATCAATAATTCAAAATTTCATAAAAATCGAATAAAACGACTGATTCGATCGATGGCTAGCATTTAATTTAATAGAAAAATGTCCAACGCGTCCTGATTTGTTTATCTTTGCCTGTTTTGTACGGCGCTAATCTAAACAAGTCGGACCGGAAAACCAGTTTTGGGAAATATTGCCGTGCAAACAGGCACTTTCTACAAAAAAAGCTGAAATCGAACTGCAAAGCAAAGCAATTAGTCATCCAAAGGGCGAACCAGTAAATGGTTATATCATCATGTTGGTTCTGGAGTTCGGTTCCTGCGGACTGCAACACTGAATATTCAGTGTGAATCGCGTTCTGAGACGGAAAATATAGATTCATTGTGACCCGTAAGGAAAGTTTATAATTCGAAATGCATTTTTGTTCTGTGATCAAGTGAACTTTTTGGAGATTAATTGGTAGAAAATGGAGAAAGTGGGCGTCATATTGCAGAAAGCTGGCAAGAATAATTTCTAATCTATACATTTTTAGCTTGAACTGAGTTTAGTTTACGAAAAAGCCTTTTTTTCAACTTTCTATTGCTTTCCAGTAACATGGGCCATATTTCCAGCTGTACTAAACACATTTTGTTCTTTCTGTCCAGGTGTTTTGATGCAGCATTCGGAAAGTTTGGCCTTTCTTTGTCCCTGGTTGCGATATAAAAAGTGTTTTTTCAGATGTATTGAACTTTAAACTGAAATAAAACTCATAAAAATCATGTTAAGGACCACTTCCAAACTTTCACCAGACCATAACGCACACCAAACTGAACAGCGATTATCGAAAAAATTGCCGCATTTAGAGCGACGAAAACTCAAAATCCGTAAACCATTATTGAGACGCCGTTATATCCAGAAACACTCACTATTTGATCTTTTATGGTCTGGTAGAATCAAAGTGGTCGAAAACTGGACTTCCTTCGTGCCCCAAATCACAGTTAATCTATAATGGAACGCAATTGCATTTTTAATAAAACCAGTACCTTGAACTGAACATGATTTATATTAGATTTATTTCAGTTTATTTTGTTTAGTCCCATATGGTTGACTTGTATTTTCTGGGATCCGAATCTTGGTTTCACATGTTTTATTTTATTTTGGTTATTATTATGAAAACTAGGTAATTTAAAGTCAAATTTTATACATTCAATCGAGGTTTTCTATAGGCGTTCTTCTGTGGACTACACTTTTTTACCGCCGTGCAAGGATTTTGCATCATTTATTGCTGGTATTCTGCTGTGAATTGCACTCTTTATCAACCAGTTCTCGAATTCTCATTGGGGTATTGCTCAGATTAATAGACGATTGAATTAATATTTTTGCCAATCGATTCGTGCATTTTGCTTGAATATTGCAATTTATGTTTATTGTTTTATGAGCTGCCAGCGCCTTAAGAGATTGCGTGTGAAATGTACATAAAATTTGTTCAAACCGGGTGAAATAATGCTCAAAACCCTCCCGTCGTTCCGATGTTTTCTGATCCCCTTATCCGTACCCAACGAGTTAACACCTTTTGGAACATCCGATTTAGCCGAAATATGCACTGTTTTATTTTATAATTTGTAGCCAATTTTCCGCTACATTCCCAAAACCGCTCTTTTAGCAGTGGCCCTCACCCTGGCCATTTTCTAGTTGAGTTACTGACTCCCATTGCAGACTTCGCCGTTAGAAACACTTCTTCCAAGCAACTTAATATTACCTCGAAATCGAGTTTCTATGGCTTTTGACTCGTTAAATTCCCACTTACCTGTAAAGCGTCGAACTCTTCAATGATGAGGCTCTGCGCCTTGAACGCCCTGATGGTGGGCAGGCCGTACAAGCTGGCCGAAACATGGGAAAAGACCGGCGCCCTGGTAGCGCCCTCCAATCGCTTAATGTCCTGTCCGGACTTCAGGTAGACCACGCGCGCGTACCAGAAAATCGAGCCCAAAACCACCGCCGGAATGATCATCCAGGGGCTTTTGATGAAAACCTACAAAACTTTCAAATTAGACTGCACGCTATCGAAAAGCGCCGTTGTTACCATTCCCAAGATGCCCAGCATGATTAGGAAGATCTGCAGTGTTTCCAGCACTACTTTAGGAAGAGCTTCGTCGACTGCGCCCATATCCTTGGAAAACCTGTTCAAAATTCTCCCGCATGGATTGGTGTCGAAGAACTTCATTGGCGCCTTGAGGATGCAGTTGAACATCTTGTTGTGCAGCGCCTTTGAGGCGCTCATGCACACGTTCATGAAGAGCGTGGATCTGGAAAGTTCGATAATTTCCGTTTAGAGTCCAGGCACGGTTGGGGGCACCAACCTGGCTGTTGTCAGGACAATAGAGGACACAATCAAGCCGGTGTAAATGTAGATGTAGTCAGTATTCACGCTGCTGGAATTCCCTGAATTGTCGTAAGCTGGGGACATGGTGGTAAAGTTGCTGCTATCATCAAACGCCGTTGCTTCAGTGCGATTTGCTTGAGATGCAGTCTTCAAATCCTCCTGATTGGTCCTAGAAGGCAACAATCAGTGAAATCTCGAATAGCCCAGACAGATTAAACTTTAAAAGGCCGCTAAAATATTGTTGGAAGTGGTTCGGAGGGATTGCGGAATACTGAGACAATGGTTTGCCATAGTGGGAACAAATAATTCGACTGGACCATTACTGATGAGTTAAAACCCTTACCAGAAGGTCAGCCACATGTCGGCCCCATTGCAAGCAACCTGAGCGATTACGAACAGAACAAGCAGCAGTATAAGCAAACAACACGAAGAGCCTGAGTTGTAGTACTCCACATAGGTGGAGGTTTTCAAGGCGCCGCGCTCTAGAAGTTCGTCAGTCTCTTCAGGCTCATCCCAGCTCTAAAACATCGCGATTAGTCACAAGCTAAGTTTCCCCAGCGTTTTTCGGCTGCTTACAGCTAGAGAAGCGATGGACTGCAGCGCCAACGACAGTCCCCGATCCCGGTCTTCCACTTTGGGCGTCTGCTCCCGGTCCTTCTGGCCTACGGCCGCGTGGACTTGCTGCTGCATCTGAATCTCCTTGGACAAAGCGGACAGTTCCTCCTGCAGGTCTGCGTAGGTGCCCATGCGCTCAATTTTGCCCTATTTCGAGCAACTGCTACTCTAAACTCATCGCCAGCGAGCCAATGGAAACTTACATTGTTCATCACAACGATCAGGTCGGCTCCTTTGAGGAACTGCACCTGGTGCGTGACTACAACCCGCGTTTTTCCTCGCAAATACCCCTGGATGCAGCCCTCGAATAAATGTTTGGCTACATGGGCGTCCACAGCACTTAGAGGGTCGTCCAGTAGGTAAATATCGGCGTCTCGGTAAACGGCCCGCGCTAGCGCCACTCGAGCTCTTTGCCCGCCGCTCAATGCGGCCCCCCTTTCACCTACAAGCGTCCGGTCTCCATTGGGCAACTGCTCAAAGTCGCGCTTTAATGCACAGGCTTGAACAGCGAATTTGTATCTACAACGCGAATGTTAAGGAATTTCTCAAAAAAATCGCTCTCCTTACCGCTCTTTATCAAAGGGCCGGCCGAACAAGATGTTTTGCCTAACGCTGGAAACAAACAGCCAGGGTTCTTGAGACGCATACGACACATTGCCGACTACTTCCAAGGTACCGCTGTTCAATGGCAACTCCTTGAGGATGACCTAAACTCTGCCGCGGTTAAAAACTGAAATAAAGCGCGGGATTGGGATTGGTTTACCTGCAATAGGGAACTTTTGCCTGCCCCTACGGGGCCGACCACACAACATAAAGTTCCTGGTTTGAGCTCGATATCGATGCCCAGAAGAGTTTCCACGATGGGATTCGGCATCCAGCTAGTGCTGGCCTGATTCAGCTTTATTAGGCCGACGTTGTTCTCGTCGCCTGAAAGTCCTCATGCAACTTTTCCGGGTGTTTAGTCTTTGGATCAATTACCTGATAACTCTGGCGGGTCGTCATTCTCTTCCAGCGCCAGAAAGTCCTCGATTCGCCTCATGGAGACTTTGCATTCCTCCCACGTAGCCAAAGCCAATGGAAAGAAAATAGCCATGTACAACTGAACAGTGTTCAACAGCTGCGCCACAGCAAAGACAACGTCGCCTTTGATGTCCTGCCCCATTAGAACCCAAGCGATTACCGCTATATAAAGCGTGGCTCTTTCGGTGAACAACATCAGGGCTAACGAAAATCCTTTAATATAGGAGGTTTTTTGTACTATATCAATCTCCAACCTTAAACAATCCATTATAAACCCCACCAGCGATTTTAAAGGCATTGCTTACTTTCTGGCAAGCTCCACGATTTTCTCAAACGGCCGCTCCCAAGCGTACATTTTAATCACTTGGATGCCGGACGTGATTTCGCTCATCAATTTTACCCGGTTGTCCGTCAATTGGGCGATTTTGGCTCGTAGTTTGCCCTGAAGCTTCGAAAGGTAACCTGCAGGGAAAGGTTGAGTATTTAGCAGGCTGAAGTCGGTTTTAAGGGTAATTTTACCTTGGGCCACAACAGCTTGCACCGTAATGGCGCCCATGGAAGGAAGCGCCGCCAATCCCACATAATTATACATCAAGTACGAGGAAATGATGAAAAGCACTGGAGTGATCCAGAAATAGTGCAGGAACCAGGAAATCATGTCGAAGCGAATCACATCATTGGACAGCAGATTCACCAGTTGTCCGGCTGCAGTTTTACCCAACGAGGCCTGATTCAGCTTCAGCAACTGAAACTCAATTTACTTCATTGTCCCTTTGCGAAAGTCTACAGCGGTATACCTTGCGATAGATTAGGGAGCAAGCGGCCACTCGCACCCTCATACCGATTCTCTGCACTCCCATATTACAATAGTGCTCTAAAACAACCTTGGCGAATGTTAGGCCGACAACCGCGCCTCCAAAAATCCATCCGCGCTCAATATTTTGGAAGCTGTCCGTCGGGTTGTCGAAGAAATTAATGTAGTAGGCTAGGAATACGGGAATTAACATTCTGAAACGGAAAAAATCATCATTATTCTTGACCATAAAAAGGCGTTTGAATCCATAGATCGGGAGGAACTGCTCAAAGCCCTAGCAGCAGAAACGTACTAATAAAATCAACATCAATAAAGGCGTACGACAAGGAGATAGATTTTCCTCGAGACTCTTTACTTTTACTGCTGAACTGGGAAAATTTTGGACAAAGCATAGACGGAGAAGCTAAGCTCTTAGCTACGCTCAGCAGTGCTACACAGGCTGTCTGATAATGATGCTGAAACCGGTTGTTATCTGGCTTAAGCAATAAAATTAGCAAATTCCAGTTCAAACTGTTTGGGTGAGTGCGGCTTTTGCCGATGGGAACAGCTAAACACATTCAGACAATGGAAATTAGCGGTCAGTGCGAAAATGTCGCAATAAACAACCAGCAAGGTGTTGAACAGTCAGCCACGCAAATCATGCTCAGGTTTCGGTTCAAAACACTGATTTAACTCGCCTTATCACAACGCTCTGAATAAACATGAAGGCTCCATAGAAAAAGTAGGATTTTGCGAACGTTTTAAAGATAGCTCGCTTCAGTCGCGGTTTGGTATCTTTGGGGCTCTTGGCGTTCTTCCATTTCCTCACTTCTTCATCCCAATTCCTACAAACATTTAACGAGCGGTTAAAAGACTTAGGTTTGAAACTTGAATAGGCCAATTACTTTTCCAGGGCATCGCCCAGCGGGCCCGATAGGTCCGGATTTGTACTATTGTAGATGTCTTTCACTTCCAAGTCCTTACTGTAGCCAGTCTTGAAGAATGGAAGCACCCAACTGGAAGCAAACAGAGAAATTTGAAGATTTTCAAGTCGCTATACAAAAAACTACTTTATACTACCGACAATCACTATAGTATCACGTGCATTAAAGTGGCTTGATGCATTGTTGAGTTTCTAGAGAGCGTATTTAAGTATTTAACCGAATAATCCTTTGAACAATCATCTCAACCGTGTGATGATTAAATAAAATTCGTTTTACTGCGGGACTTTGGCAGATATCAGCCACCAATTGGATGATCCCAGTATGTAAAATATAGGAAATCCCTTTTACTGTACTTATCTGCTATTTACTATGACTCAAACGTATGATGTTCGTTGATGTTTAGGAACGTAGCCAAGCATCAGAATCATATTACTTGGACTTATATGGCTCGAATTTCCATGTAAACGGTAGGGTTTTGCAATGAGGGCTCCCAATTTGGCAGGGGCAATTAAAACACTAATTAAACTGGCTTAAAAGGATAAGTATTAGGCAATTGGCAGGAAGTAGGTTGTCAGTTAGATTAATGTGCCAGCTTGCTGGGGCCATTAGAAGCCCTCAAGCCGCCCTTGAAGATTAGGCTGCAAAAACTTACCAAAAAAACAGTCGGTTGCAGAAATTGGCCTTAATTTCCGGGCTAGGATTGACGAACTTTTTCGTTGTATCCATTGCGCCCCAAGGTCCGCAGAACTACCCCCTAAGTAAACAGGGGCATAAATGTTGAACGAAACACGACAATTTCCGCCGAAAACTTTCCACACGGCTGCAAATCACACCGTAAAATCGTGCTAATTGGATTAAACCATTTAGATATCGAGGGATATTGCTGTTAAACGTGGAAACTAAAAATAGACAATGGTTTTCAACTTTTTGCTGCCTAAGAATGCCAGAGTTAGGTTAGAATCTTAGAACAAGTTGTCACGTTAAATACTCCTATGGCCATTGCCAAGTGTACTGCCTATAAGTCCTTTCTATCTTGATAATGATAATGATAATTTGTCTCGTATGTTCCTGTCTGTCCGATGGCTTGCGGAATATTAAATATGCCTTCCCAATAAATTTACTGTTTGAGGGATGTGCGGATGTAGGTGGAAAGAGCGGAAAAATTGTTCTCAGCTCTATTAAAGTTTCGTGAACATTGTGATTATTAGCAACTCTTGGCAACGTCACATTGGAAGAACAGGGGCTCATTAGAAATATTCAAATGGCAGCCTGAAGGGTTTTCATTGGTCGGAACCAATGACAACCCTTGCTGTTGACAGGGGATGTCACTTAACAGTTCAAATGCGTCTTGCATCGAGAATTAGGTGAGTTTTTTAAAGCTATTTTATCTTCTTGCTCACTAATTTAAGCTGAAAATTGTGAAGAAATACGCGCGCATTTAATGGGAAAGTTTTACTTTCCCTTCCAACATTATTTTCATATTTCTTTGCTCGTTTCTCAGAAATTAATAGAGCTTGAGCGCCCCTTTCTACACCTCTGGATAGAGCACTAATAGGAGTTCATTGCTTTGAATATAAAACTAACAGTTTCTTTTTAATTTTCTCAAAATGTCTCAAATTTTACGTCATTTTCAGCTCACGAACGCGAGCAATGCATCGAACTCACTAAAATGCATGGTAGAAGTTTCAGATCTGAAATAATAGACATTTTCGGCACATTTTAAGCATTTTTAGAGCGTTTACGATCTTTGACCGACGATTTCTTCCTCATTTTTGATCCAAACACTTTATAAATGCATATTTCTGAACTTCTTACGTCAAAAGGAACCATTTGAGCTCAAAAAACATAGATGTGAAATTTTGAATTTTGGCCGAAATTTTTCCAAGGGTGGGGGCCGATTTTTTCAAAAAATTAAAATGTTCTCAAAATTTCTCAAATTTTACGTCATTTTCAGCTCACGGACGCGAGCAATGCATCGAACTCACTAAAAAGCATGGTAGAAATTTCAGATCTGAAATAATAGACAAATTAAACAATCAGACATTTAGGTGAATGATTAGTTCAACATTTCATGTTTTACGCCAGCTTTTTGCTCATTTATCTGTAACAGACTGAGCTCGACCACTCATTTCTCGACTACTGAATAGAGGCACTTAGTATATTTGAAAAAAACGTTAATTTTGCTAATTTTTTGAACTGCAAAATCGACTCAAATATTACGCTGTCTTTTTCTACGTTTTCCTATTATTCGATAGAGAAATTAGACGCCCGACTCAGTGAGTGGAAAGTCGATGAGTAAATCGAAGTTTTCACACAAAAAGCGAAATTTGAAGATTAGACCATTTAACTGCCAGATTAGACCAAAATTTCATGCTTTTCGTCACTTTTTCGCTAATTTCTCGGGAACCGATTGAGTCAGAGCGCCCGTTTCAACACCACCAATAGAGCACTAATTAGCGTTTTCTAAAGGTCAATCATGGCTTACAACGAAAATGATGACCATGGGAAATATACATTTTCGTTGGGTATAGAGAGCATAAAATTGCTCTTTTTATTGCAACTTTCCCCAAGCTTCCAAATCAATTTTTTCTGAAGACACAAATTTCCAGTTCAGAAAAATTTCGGTTGATGGCAGCGAATCGAAGCTTTCGTTGGTTTTGTAGAGAACTTTGCTATTTCCAATGCAATTTTTCTCAAGCTTCCAGTTCTGTCTGTGCTAAAGATCCCGGTTTTTCAATCATTAAATAGGTAATCAGCCCAATTCAGTGAGTCCAGCGTGGATAAGGAAATAATCGCAGTTTTGACGCAAAATTAATTTGAAAATTACGCATTTTTATGCAAGATTATACCCAATTTTCATGCTTTACGCCACATGATTTATCAATTTGTGTCCCACGGCGTTTTGCTTGGGGAAAATCGACAAAGCCTTTAAGAAACGAAAGGTGGAATCGGGTAGATATTAAAACTTTCTAATTTTTTGTGGCTCATTTATTCAAGCAATTTTAATCACAACGATTGAGTCTACATTGTTTATAATCAACCTAAAATATAACCAAATGAGGAGCGGTAACAATCCAACAGTTTAGAGTTTCCGTTTAATACAGCTTCACTATTAATATTATTATTATTATTAGTAGTAGTAGTAGTACTAGCAAATATTCTTTGGATGGCATACAGTCTTACAATAAAGGAGTAGCAATACACGGCGGCCTAAAATGTAAAGTTCAAAAAACGTGATGCAATTCGGGGTTCTTAAACTACTCGAGCAGATGTTCGCTTCATCTACATCCAAAACCAGTCAAACTTTCCAGATCTATTCGAATACACAGGTTGAGATTAAAAAAATAAATAATATCGCTTAAGAACATACACGGAATATTTTTTGGGTCTACTGAGAAAAAGACGTCAAAGTGATCCTCAAAAACCAAGCACAACTAAAAACTATATCACAAATCAAAACAATAAATCCGAGCTCAAAACCCAGGCCGCATTTTTTCAACACAGTATACCTCCTTCTCTAACAAGCAATTGATGGTACATTTAGAACAAAGAAGGGTAGCTTTACAGCGCAAGTATGTACATGTTTTACAAGGACGGGGACGCCTCTAACATAACGCCCAACTGAGGCAAGTTTGATTAGTTTCTTAGCGGATTTCCCTATTTCTTTACAAGGCTGGCTATCCGGTTCAAATGCGGTCGCACTGAGTTATTCAGCGACGTTAATGGCGATGAAGGAGCAGGCGATGGAGGAATGTTGTTGTTTTGAGGCGTCGGAACTGGGCCCTGATCCTTCAGAACCTGCTCTTTCGCCCCTCTGAACAAAAATCACAAGTTACACACGGTTAAAAGCCCCAAGCTTATGAAGGGCGCTTACAAATATCTCGTCAGATCCTCAATGTCCACCAGCTTTGAGTCCTGCTCCATATGGAGATCGTCCCTGTCCATCAGGAACTTCACCAGCTGCTCATTGAGGGTCTCAATTTGAGTGTGGAGGTCGTTGACGATCACTTGCAGCTGCGCCACGTTCATTTCGGTGAGGATCTGCCGGGAAAGGCGACGTTTTTCCTCAGGAAATGGTATTCCGACCTTTTCCAGGCTGTGCCGCACCATTTCGGTGATGGGCGACTTTTTCTGCTTCTGCTTTTCGATCTATTGGACATTTTAACATTGTTAGAATCATTGAGGCAGTAGGAGGAGAGTGGCGTACCTCCATTTGCATCCTGGCCATTTCTTTGGCTTGCGCCAGAGCCATCCGAGCTTCGGTTTGAAGCCGCGCTTGTTTTGTGAAGAAATCGGTTTCGGCTGCGGCTGCACCTGAGGAAAATTGCGTTAACTTGAGGACTTTGTCACTTGGAGGATTTTCTTGGTTGAGTTCACACATTAATGCCAAATTACCTACCCAACTGAGGTGGAGGAATGGGATGCAGCGATAGAGTGGCAGGTCTTTGAGGTTGAGGTCCGCTGGCCTGGGAGTTCTGATTCGGCCTGGAATTTTTCGTAGGCTTGGGGTTGGTGAGGGGGCACTCATTGTCTGAAGAGGGACTCTCGTTGTCCGACACCGTCTCATTCATGAAGCAGATTTGCAGATTCATGCCTGCAACAACGAGTAATCTCCAGCCGACCTCCACTGGATGCATCCAGATGCTTACCACTTTGCAGCCTGGCCTGTAAGCTGGGCTTTCGTCCTGGCCGATCCGTGTAGTAATCATCTTCGTTTCCCATGGCCAATCTTCGTCTGATTTCCTCCCGATCTGTTCGTCTCTGAAACAAAGACATTGGAGGTTTTACTGCATAAGGGAACAAGCAGCAGAAGTGAACCCCCTTACATCGAATCCAGAGTCATCGTTAATAGTTATTACTCTAATAAACCGGTCAATAACATTGTGCTCATCATACGAAGAAGGCACATAAGGAAACCACTCCATGTTCTCGTTAACTGAGTTATAGTCCATGCTAAATGTGGTCATGTGGTACGCTCTGGGGCTCAGAAAATCATTCTCAAAATAATCAGTCTCCTCCTCCTTTTGTGCGATTGTGTAGTAAGTGGTTTTGGTCTTATGAGAGAAACTGCTCTTGAAAGCGTTCAAATTATTCGAAATTCGTCGAGTTTTCGCCTTCACCGTATCGGAAAGGTTGTTGGTGCGATTTTTCAATGACGCCAAAAAATGATCAAACATTGTACCCACTGTGTTCGCCTAACCGCACTTTTCGTCAATAGACCACAAATCCGGACGGTACGACGGATTTTTCGAATTGCTACCTGAAAGCGAACGGTGTTCGTTCAGTTTTCTTCACGACGAACCCGAACTGAGGCCAGGGAATTTGCCAGCATCTTCAAGAAACGGCCCTTGGCTTCCCAACATTTTTGTTTGTTTTACTCATTGCGCGAAAGAGACCAAACTGCTAGTCGCATTGAGGGGGGAACAGAGATGGCTTGAACACCTGGACTTTCACACCTGCTTGTCCTCGAACTTAACTCAAGAGCAAATGTTCGGAATTACATAAGAATAACTGCGAAAATCAAAAGTGAAATGCACTGGTCATTTCGGGCTCATTTGTAATCTACTCGCCCCAGAAAACGCTTCGTGATTAACAAAATATGTGCTGATAAGTACCGAAAATGGTAGAGCGACACACAATACTCGGATTGAAATTTTATACTTGCAGCATTTTATGTGCTTAATTGATATCAAATGCGCTCTGTATGTGGGAAATTATGGAAACGTTTTGTCAACGTGAGACTATTCAACAAAAACTGCCACTGCAA